CCCTGGTCCATCCGTATCCCCGCCAGTTCAGCGACGTCCTCGAACTTCTCCAGGAAAGTCCGCACATCCCCATCCTCGAAAGCTGCAGGTCATGGAAACTTCATCCTTACGACGGCACTAATTGTTATATATCCACGCGAGAATGCCTGGACGATGAGAGTTGTTTATTACGAACAACGGTAAGGGTGTATGCGATAAAGCATATAATTTGGAACAGGTCATCATAATTACCACAAGCACGCAGAATAATTAATGTAAAGGTTCGACGGTAGATGAGCACATTCAAGTTACAATTTTAAACAAAGACCTGTTCTAGCTTGCACGTTTGGTTGCATGCACCCCAAATCACCGACACCCTTACCGTTATTCGTATTAAACAACTTTCCACTAAGAGTATGCGGTCTCTAGTCTATGGGGAGATAAGTGATAAGCCGTGTTCGCTAATAGCGTTATATGGAGAATAAATTGAATTAACGGACTTCAAGTGGATGCGTGAACTGTTGTGCCTTGCGATATATACTATGACTTCAGGCTGCACAATTCCTCCCACCTTCAAGTTTTAACTACTGACAGATTAGAGTAGCCATAATATTATCGTTCACCGACGGTACCTAAAGCATTTCTACGGATACAACTCCAGAAACAGGTGAGTTTAATCTGTATCAAGTGTTTTGTCGGATAGTTTTTTTGTACGGATCCTGACATAGGAATTCTTGTCTTAAATCTTGAACTTGATGTGCAAGCGCATGACCCCACAGTCTCTTTTTGATTCATACACGCGCGTATGCATCTATGCGTTGATTGCAATGTAGACAGCAGTGAAAGGTTCTGGGCACAGCCTAGAGAACGTGGTAGACAAAGTCACTCAAAACTGAACGGTAGCGACCGCTGTAGAATGACACACTACTTCCCTTAGAGTCGGGGCCCTGTATCACAGCCGTCCGTTTTGCAATCGAGTGTTGCGGAGCTCAGTTACACGCGCAGAAAGGCACCGAAAGACCAGCCAACGAAATGACCTTTGGGATTATGTGATGCTACTTAGTTGACCCTTCTCCAGCGGGATTATCCTCCACCAAACACAGGTTGCTCGAGTGATGATGTAACTTAACTGTCGAATGGGTAGGTCTGGTTGAATGAAGCACGAAGTAGGCGTTTGAAGCCGAGAAAATAAGCTTTGGTTGACTGAACTACGACATAGAGCTCCACAGCCCACAAAGAGTAAAATGGGCAGGCCCTTATGATCAGCGCTATTTGGACAAAGGTCCTAAAAACGAGAATGCCCCTAATAGCTGAGTCTGTGAAGGAAACCCCGAATGAGATAGATGTTTTTCTGCGTATCTGTATGTGGGAACTAAAGCTGAGATCTTTCTGCCTTCGACTGTTAACGGATTCAGTCTTAACACCACACCTAACCTAGTGGAGCTTTATGCGGTTCACCACTTAGATTACGCGTTTTTATGACTGAACAGTAGGTCTTCGTGACTATGAGGCGCCGGCCGTCTACAGCTAATCAAACAAATGTGTAATAGACGAGAACGAGCGGACACAAGGGCCTCTGGCATCGGTCGATCGGGATAAGAAACGCGAGTCGCGATACGATGAATCGATAAACCATTTACCATGGCCAGGAGTGTGTGTAGACATGGATCGTTGGATAGGCTGTTTCGGTCTAGGTATTAAAAAAGTTGGTGCGAAAAATTCCACTGCAGCCATGATTGCCTCAATTTTAACCATTTGATTTGTTTCTAATGCAAGTTTTCTAGAATTGAAAGATAGATTTAACGGGGAGTTCAACACTGACTGTAAGCTCCGTGGATCTCTTTTAACGTAACTCTTATCTCGGTCTGATTACTCGCTTGATTAGTCACGATCCCCGTTAATATGAGCAAAACGTAAGCACCTTATCGTACGGGAATACGCATATGAATATCAATGCGGTTCTGTTAGAAATAAATAACTAACATTTAGTACACGTAAATAGGAGATTGGCATACATCGATCATCATCATCATCATCGTACAGCGAGATACAGTGAAGCGAGTTTCACTGAT